GAACGGTTCAACACAACTCTTCAACAGATCAGCAGAGTTTGAGAGCACGTGCAATATTCTACATCCGGAGTCCCCCACCTCTGCAAAGCAGAGAAGTAGACACATTTTCCCCTTTTTTCTCTGGGATCCAGCTGGACAATTACAATTACACAGCATTCAGATCTTTCTGTGGTCCCTGAGGGTAATTTTTCCGTTTACATGGTTATAGTCATGGTGCATATTGCTGGGTTGGTCCCTTATTAAACGCCCTCTAGCTAGGCTAGTCAACCAGCATTTCTTTTTTTTTCTTTCTTTTTCTTTTTGGTGAGGCAATTGGGGTTAAGTGACTTGCCCATGGTTACACAGCTAGTAAGTGTTAGGAGTCTGAGGCTGGATTTGAACTCAGGTCCTTCTGACTCCAAGGCCAAAGCTCTATTCACTGCGCCACCTAGCTGCCCCTAACCAGCACTTCTTAAGCCTTTATTAGTAAGCTCTGAGGGTTTACTAGATAAGGCAGGTAGGTATCAAAGTAGACAGAGGCTGAGCCTGGAGTCAGGAAGACTCAAATCTAAACTTCAGACACTAGTTGTATGACCCTGAGCAAGTCACTTAACCTCTGGCTGCTTCAGTTTCCTCATCTGTAAAATGGGGTAAGAGCACCTAACTACTCCAGTGAGATATTGGTGAAGTACTTAGTAACAGTTCCTGGCTCACAGTACACATTTACGTGCCAGGAACTAGTACAGGTCTGTCAGGGCTAGATAATAGTACACAGATAAATGAATGAATGAATGCCTCTTAGTTTGAACTGAACTGGTGACAGAAATGACTCCAGCAGAGTGTATAGGCAGCCTGTGATAACAATTATCACGAATTCCTCCTTTCCAAAAGGCAGCACACAATTATCAGGCCCCTGCCACTTGCCACCCGTCTCACAGTCACATGTAACAGCTCGCTCTCTTTCTCTCTCTCTCTACTTTCCCCTGGTTCTCTCAGTTTCAGCCTAGAACTACTCCAGGGAGGATTCTCAATTCTCAAAATTCTTTCTTTGGATTCTCAATTAATGAGACCCTAGAAGAAGCAGAAGGGGCTGAACTAATTAAGACAAAAAGTAGAAGAGGGAAGGAAGGGGGGAGGAGGAAGTATGAAGTAGGGGTCTGGGTCAGCTTGCTAAAAATTCATTAAAACTTCTTCCTAAAGTCAAAAGTGGTTCTGAAGATGATTCCAAAAGAGAAGTTTCCAGTAACTTTTTTGTTCTCTGGAGATCATTTTGATGGACAATATTCATTTAGATTTAGAAGAAGTTCCTAACCAGAAATCCATGAACTTGTTTTTTAAAAATATTTTGATAACTTTTAAAAATATAATTAGTTTCCTTTGTAATGCTGTATATTTTATTTTATGCATTTAAAATCATTACTTTAGTAAAGAATGCTTGGGCAGCTGGGTGGCTCAGTGGATACAAAGCCAGACCCAGAGTCAGGAAGGCTCATCGTCACGAGTTCAAATCTGGCCTCCTACATTTACTAGCTGTGCGATCTTGGGCAAGTTACTTATCCTTATTTGCTCAGTGTCCTGCATCAGTCAAATAAATTGGAGAAGGAAATGGCAAACCATTCTAGCATCAAGACATTCCCTTTGTGGTCCATTTTCTGTCCATTAAGCCACATTCTTTGCCAAGAAAACCCCAAATGGGATCATGAAGAGTCATGCATGACTGAAAAAGACTGAGCGATAACAGACGTCTTGCAAAACAATTTAAGCTTCCAGAGTAAGTTGTTCTTACCTTTATTTTACTACACAAAAAAGCAGAAAGATCACAATAAGAAAATTTACCAAAAAAACCGAGCAATAAAGCCATTCTTGAATCAGTTTCTCGAAAAAAAAAAAAAAAAACCAGTCAAAAATAACCCAGGTGCCTCACAAATCTATTTAAAATGCTCATTAAAATCTATAACTTTCATTAGAGTACCTCTTCCAGGAAAATATCACATTCCAGGTGACTATCAGTGAGGCACCTGGCACTCAAGATATGGCTGGACTCATAAAAAAAGTGTATCTGGTAAGAGTCATTAGCAGGATTCAGAGCTAGCAGAAGGGAACGTCTTGATGAATACTTTAATGCTCCACATGCCAATTCCTGTTCAACACTTACTATCAATGACTTAGATGAAGATACAGCCATGGTATGTGATCACTGAATGCTTACTGGTTGATTGGTTAATAAGGTATTTGCTGAGGTGGGAGGTGGGTATGGTAGACTGGGTAACAGGTCAGGATTCATTAGATTTAGAGCTGGAAGGAACCTTTGAAAGGTTATCAACTCCAACTTCCTCATTTTACAGACGAGGAGACTGAGAAACAGAGAGGTTTAGTGAATTGCACAAAGTCACACAGCTAGTAAGTATCCAAGGGCAGAACTCAAACCTAGATGTTCCTGACTTCAAGAAGAGCATTGTATCAATTATTTATGCTGCCTTATTTCAATAGGTGGACAAGATGAAATTTAACAGAGAGAAATAAAAGTGTCTGCATTTTAATGAATTTTTAAAAAACCGTACAAGATGAGAAACACGTGGTTTAAGAAACGTTCATTTGAAAAGGATCTGAGAATTTTAAAAGGTCACAAACTGGACAGAACAACTGGCACTGGAGTCAGGAGGACCCCAATTCAAATCTGACCTCAGACATTTACTAGCCACGTGACCCCAGGCAAGTTACTTAACCCCACTCCCCCCCCAAAAAAAGCCATAAACTCAGTGGGAGCATGGTGAAGTTGCTTTAAAAAAAAAAAAGGCTCGGGCAGTCTCGGACCAGATTAATAAATGTATAGAGCTCTTATTCCAACAAACAATCATCCCACTGTACTGAGGGTTAGTCAGCCCACATCTGGAAAACTGAGTTCCCTTTGGTTCTATATTTCACACAAAAGACAATGAGACCATGCTAGACATGACAGCTACAGTGACGATGAAACCCTATCGCACAAGAAATGACAAAAACACGCTTCCCTTGGCATGTTCTACTTGGTAAAGACAATGGGTAAGGGATCTGTCTTCAAATATTCTCAAGGTTTTTCATGGAAAGAGGACACTTTTGTGCTCTGTTGTTCCAAAGAACAGGCTGCTGGGAGGTAAATGTTAAATTAACATAAGGAACTTCCTAAATTTTAGAAATCTACTTTTGAGCTGTTTTTTGTTTGTTTCCCCACCCCAGGATAGCTAGGTGGTGCAGTGGATAGAGCACCAAGCCTTGGAGTCAGGAAGACCCAAGTTCAAATCTGGCCCCTGACATTTACTAGCTGTGGGACCCTGGGCAAGGCACATAACATTGCATCCCCCTGCTCCACTCCCCCCCCAAAATATGGAAGGGACCTTATCGCTAGTTTATTCTACCTTGCCCCTCTATGGGATGTTGTACAGTGGTAAGAGTTCTGTACACTGAGTCTGGAAATTTTGAGTTCTTCTTTACCCAGGGGGATCACAGATCACAGGCCATAGATTGAGAGTTAAAAGAACTTCAGAGACCACCTCCTCCAACCCCTTCATTGTACTGATGAGGAAACTGTGGCCTAGAGAAACTAAATGACTTTTCCAAGTTCACAGCAGATTGACAGAAACATAATTTGAACTCAGGTCCTGTGGTACCTACCAGCTTCTTGACCTTCAGCAAGTCTAAAATCTCCCTTTACCTTGAAAATCCTAGGCTCCTAAGATTTATTCTATACTGAGCACAGTGTTAGTTGCTATGGCAAAGATAATGTCTAAGATAGGCCCTTCACTATGAGAAACATGAGTTTCAAACTCCCAAGTTCAAATCCAGCCTCAGACACTTACTAGCTGTGTGATTCTGGACAAGTCACTATTTGCCTCAGTTTCCTCATCTGTTAAATGGGGATAATAACAGCACCTACCTCCCAGGACTGTTGGGAGGATCAAATGAGATAAGTGTAAAGTGATTGGCACACTGCCTAACACATATGCTATTTTTTTTTTTCTGTTGGCTGTGGGGAGCCACAGAAGATTTTCTAACTGGAGAGTAACATGTTTTAGGAAGATTAAGCTGTCATCTCTAATAAGGCTGGATTGGAAGGTGTAAAAAGTGAAGGGGGAGTGACTATCTCAATGTTCCAAGCATTTATTAAATAATAAGAGGTAGACTTTGAGTTTCTGAACTAGGACATCAAAGAAACAAGAGATGGGGGGGGAAGGAAGGAAGTTAAGTCCACCCAAGAAATCCTAGTGGCTCCTAAGCCACCTTGTCTCTTGGTTTTCCCTGTCTTATCCCACAAAGTAGCAACTTCATTTGACAATGGGCTGTAGGCTGCTCCTGAACAGGGTCAGAAAGGAAAGATTCCTTAAAGCTTTCTAAAATTGCTGCCCAGTTTTGAAAGGAAGAGAGGGGTGAAAGGGGAGGGAGAGAGCATAAGAACCTCTCAGTTTTTGGTAAGGTTTTATCATCTGGGCGGCTGAGGACATGCTGGGCCTGTCCCCCAAACAGCATCTTCTGCTGCTTGGTCAAGGTCAAGTGCCCAGAAACTTCTCTCCACAGTTTCCTTACTTCAGATTTTAGAAGAAAGTTCTGACAGTAGAGAGGGGGGGAGAGGAAGGGGAGGAAGAAGGGGAGGAGACTTTGTTGACTTCGCTGTGTTTGGTTTTTTTTTTTTTTTTTGTCGAAGGCGAGAGAGGCAGAAAGGGTGGGGAACGAACTGGGAGGCATCAAGGGAGCTCCAAGAGCAAACCACCAATTTGGTATTTTTCGTAGGATTTAGCCCAACTCTGTTCTGGATCTTTCAGCAGCAGATCCTTGTTCGGCAGCTCGATCGCTGAGTAACTCCTTACAAACAATTTCCCCTACTCTTTGCCCGTCTGTTTATCTCTGCCGGGTGCCTTCCCACTCCACCCTCCCCGTTTGGTTCAGGGCAGTGCGGTGATATGCACAGGCTTTCCCAAACGCGTGATCTAACCGTAGTCCCTACGGGCTGTGGCCGCCCGCAAAGCAAGGCCAGGCCTTTCACTTACTGAAAAAGGTGATCAGTCCCAGTGCAAATCCCAGTAGGATCTTCGTGCCATAAAATTCTGTCGCCATAGAGCCACACATCTCTAACGACAACAGGGTCAGATGCGCGCTCTGGTAGAGGTAGCTGGAGGGTCTGAAAAGTAGCCAAAAGAAATTAACTCCCCGCTTTCTTCGCCTTAAGGGGCAGTCCCAGTATACTCCTTTCCCCTTCCCTTTTTTTTTCACCCCGACCCAGGAAGCTCCAACGTCTTCTTCAAGTGCGGGGTTGCCCCCCCCCTTTTACTTTCCTTACTTCCTCGGCGTCCCCGCAACTCACCTTTGCAGAACTTACGGGGCGGAGAGTTCCATTGCATCTTTTCGATATACCCCAGTTTTGGTATGTGGTTAAAATTAGGTGCGTCTCTGGCTCTTTCTATAGCCGCGCAAACTCCTTTTTAGAGTGCACCTTTGGTGAACACTGATACGCAGTTTGGGTGGCGACTGCCTGATCAGAGGACTGCAGGTTCCACCGACCCCCGGGAGCAGCGTACGCGAGCAGCGACCGAGAGGCAGGAGAGGCCGAGAAGAAAGCAGGACTGCAAGTAGGCGGGGCTTGCCGACGTCAGAGTGGGCCGGAGAACAGCTGATAAGCTTCAGCCAGCGTTTCTTTATTAAAATTACGGGGGCGCGGGGGGAGGGGGGACCTGGAGGGGAGCTGCTTTTACTTTATGGATGGGTATCTGTCAGAAGGAAGCACATCCTAAACTAAGCTAGACTAGCTCTTGAGTTGCCTTGGACAAGTCTTCTGAGTCAGTGGATTCCTTGAAATCCCACCCTAATTAACCCCTGAAGAGTTTCGAATT